AATACGCTTACCCCCGATACCGGAACATTCCGGTCAAAGGTAGATCTCCCTTTGACTGGCAGTGCTGGCAGGGAGCATGGAGCTGGCTTCCTGGCCAATCAGGAAGCCGTGTGGTGGGTTATGAGACGCAATAAGTGAATCTGGCTTCCTAACCAATCTGAAGACCGGGCAGCGCGTCGTGACTTGCCTCCCGGCTTCCTGATTGGCTAGGAAGCTGGCTTTACTTGTTGGTAGGTAGCCTGGCTTCCTGACCAATCAGGATGCTGGGCAGCACGTCATGACCTGCTACCGGGCTTTCTGATTGGCGAGGAAGCCAGCTTCACTTGTTGGGAGGGAGCCTGGCTTCCTGACCAATCAGGATACCGAGAGACGGGTCATGACGTGCCGTCCAGCTTCCTTATGGGTCAGGAAGCCAGGCTGTCCCGCAGTTTCGCGAGGGAAATGAATCTGGTGTTCTTTCGATACAACATCGGCTTCCCAGGCAATCAGGAAGCCGGGTGGCAGGTCATTATAATCCGGGCCCATGGATGCCGTTATCGGTATTCGTTATCGGCGAGTACCGGGGGAAATAATGTTACACATAGTACACATATTTCTTTTTTATAGTGCTCAAAGATTGGAGATATTTATTTAGGAAAAGGAAGATTAACAACTGAAAAAATTTAATAGGGAATATCTTTTCATGTCAAACACTTGCCTTTCAGATGAATGCAGATGCTAGATTCAATTTGATTCTATATGACCCCGCTCATATGGAAAATGCAGGTCAATGGCTCAAAAATACAGTAGGCAAGACTTTCTCTGTCTCAATCACATTCTTTGCTTTGGCATGAACTGCCCCACTGAAAACTATGATCATTCTCAGGTACCTACATAGCAAAACACATGAAAGTACACTAGGAACGTACATTCTCTCAGGCCCTGAGAGAATAAGAAAACCTAATCAGTTTACCAGCACAGTTGTGAAAACGGGACTAATACTTAAAATGACACTAAACTCAGGAGTTAAATCTTAAAAATACATTAAAATACCCTATTAACAAAATTATATCTTATGTGTGTATCACTCAAATGAGATCATCTCTGAATTGGTGCTGACACTGTCCTTCCTTCTGGAGGGTGCCTACTTTTGTTCCCCATGGTCCCTGTGTGTGTTTTAAAGTAGCCAAAACTCCAAGCTCACTCCTGTGATGGACTATAATCTCAATACAAATTAAACACATCATAGTGTATCCTGGAAGTGAGCTTGGAGCGGTGACTACTTTACAACACACACAGGGACCATGGGGAACAAAAGTAGCCACCCTCCAGAAGGAAGGACAGTGTCAGCATCAATTCAGAGATGACTTGAGGATCTACAGCTGAGTGATACACAAATAAGTTATATTTTTGTTAATAGTTAAAGTACTTGCATACACATTTAATAGTTAATACCTGAGTTTAGTGTCACTTTAAATTATTCACGGTGGATTTTGAGAATCACTCCAAAATGAATCCACAGATAACTAAATAATGACAAAATAAATTGATGAGTGAAGCATGGCTGTTTCATATCATATTAGGTCATGTTGTGTTATGTAATACATTTATCATTCTTTTATTATTTTACTATTGTAAACGAAGGGAAGGGGGGAGGAGTCCGGTGAAATCGATGTCCTTGACGGCTAACGAAGGGAAGGGGGAGGAGTCTGGGGATGTCGATGTCCGTGACGTCACCGGACTCCTCCCCCATGTATTACATGAATTTTAAAATGTGTTGAATAAATGTTTATATTTTTCTTCATATTTTCTATACTCACATGACATTTACCTTTCCCAAAGTATATGGATAGCATTAAAGTCCAAGTGTCAGCTCTGCCTAAAGCCTTTTTGTAATGTTTAAAGAATTGTGTGTTGATAAGACTGAGGATGGGATAGTCTTTTCTAGCATGCGCTAATTAGTGGATGTAAAAGTAGATTAAGGGCATTCCATGGGTCTGATCATTAAAAAACAATATGATCTGCTCATGTGTGAACTTTAGACAACAGAAAAAGTGAATATTTATCAAAGAAAGCTTACCTCACTGAAATCCATTCTAGAATACTGATACAGGAAATGCTTTATCAGCTGGTTCTGTAGAAAAATTTAACAGGTCATTAAACAGAGTATTTTCGGAGTGTAGTGGAGAATGATGTATTAGAGGAGTGGCACGGAGTGGCATTCGTTTTTCCCTTTTTACATGCCTGGAGTTCAGCTTTAAATAAAGATTGAAAATAAACAAGTGCTGTAACATTAAACAATTCATCCCTTATCCTGATGAAGGTACGTCTCATTTTGCTTTGTTGTATATAGTGTCCTTTATTTTCCCACTTTTTTCTTTAGGTCTGAAAAAGATGATTTGTAGAAACTGGATGCTAGGAAAGTGTTTTCCCCATCGGCATGCCAAATCCCAGTTGACCTCATTATTGAAGACAACATAATAGACAGATCTGTGTTACTCTATTGATTTGCTTAAGGGAGTAAGTTATATGCTGTTATATGCCAGCTGATTCAATGTGTTTATTTTGTGAATACCATATGTATATAAATACATACACAACAAATACATCTTAGATTTCACATCCATGAGATGACCATTGCCATAGACCAAAATCGGTTCAAGTCGGCGATGATCAGTAGGCAACAGCAGACTGACCAGCTGATTGAACTAAGAGTAAATAGCAATCAACTGCAATGCTTTCCTAAGGATACGCAAACACTGTCTAGACATGCTTTGTCCTTCTCAGTAGGCATAAATATGGCATAAACATGTATGTCTGGGCATGTCACAGTTAAATAGGAATGTATAATCTTTTCAATGATTTTATTAGATGTACAGGAAATATGATCATATCAATAGATTTATCAAAGTCTGTTAATCTTTTAAAGGTTTTATTCTAACTACTGTCACTTGTGTTTGGCGTCTACCATGATGAGGGGCCCCACCTTTGGTCATGGTGCACAATCCCAGTGTGCCATGTCGCCAGCCCAGGACATCGCCATGTACTGAATAAAACAAAATATTGAGCCAAGACGCAGGACTGGGAACTTGCTGAGACAGTGAAGGGAGATACCAGGGGCAAAGGCTCACCACTCACAGTGTCCGACATCCAAAAATGAGTGAGAAATCCCTTGGCTTTGCTCACCTCAGATGAGCCTACCCTCTCCTTCTCCTCCTCCATCTTCAAGGATGGGGTCACCCCAGTGTTGGTATGCATTGCCCTGGATCTTTATAACACCCAACAGCTAACCCAAAGCCCTGCACTACATGCCAAGGTGGGTGCTAAATGCAGGATCCAGTGCCTGTAGATAAATTACAGATGGGCCCCATATCTTCAGCCCTGTGGACTCCGGGGTATGGCCCCTAAAGCTCTTGCCGTGGGGGTTCCGATCAGGAAGCTTCGAGATCACCATCGTTCTGGGTGCAGCCAGAGAAACTTAACTGAAGACATCTTTAAGGTGAGAACTAAACTATACATAATGTATCTCTCTTAGTAAGAGGAGACATCCATCACTAACGATGATACCTCCATATTACTCATTCATCACTGAATTTGTCTACGTCTTGTACTGTACTCCAAGAAAAGGATTTTACTGGTGAGTCAAAAATCCTATGTTTTGCATGGTTTCTAATTTTAAATATACACAGGGGACAGCCATATGTGCTCTTTAATACTCAGGCTCTGCTTCCTGCTTTGCAGAGCTACACAATTGTCATGTGCTAGGATTCCTTCTCATATTGCAGGTCTGTGGTTTTGCTGACACACTGGAAACAATACACAGTGAAGAGAACTTATCAAAACTGGAGCAGACAAAATCTGGAGCAGCTGTGCATGGCAACCAATTAGCATCTCTCTTTCAATTCCAAATCTTAACTGGACAAACTGAAGAGAAAAGCTGATTGGTTGCCATGCACAGCTGCTCCAGATTTTGTCTG